TGGATCAAAATACCGCAGAGCAACATTCGGGCAGCGTGTGACGGTTTCATTAGCCGTTTGAAGGCCATATCTCTTGCCAAAGGTGACCAATTCGAACAAATATAAACTTATTCAAAAATTTGATGCTTTTTCCGACATTTTTTGTTTTCATTCAATAAAATTTTGAAAAAATATTAAAAATTATGGCGTTTGACTTTGCTGCAGTTTTTTTTATCTTACCCTGTGTGTACAAGTTTATATGCAAAATTTCCTTTATTCACCATAAATATTGTGGACTCTAAATAAATAAATTGGAAAGAATAAATCAATAAACCACAAAAAAGAAAAACAACAATAAGCTTGAACTTTAAAGAGAAAAGCTAACCGTTTACAACTTATATTAGGTTCTTAAACATATGCATTAAACGCGGTTCGGGTTAGCTGTTATATTATTAAATATGGAATTGTGAAATTCAGTTTTAACATATGTTATGTTATTTTTGAATATTTCCAAATGTTCTGCGCGGTCATACGGTTGAGAGATGGGATTGCCCAATTAAGTTCAGGCTTTGAACATCTTAATAGACATTTTTGTTGTTCTCATTCTTGCATCTTCCACATAAATGGGAAACATTGTGAATGATAATGCCTTCCTCAAAGTGGGACATCAATGTTCGACTTTCTTCAAGTTTTGCATAGTGGTTGACTCTTTCTGCTACCTCTCCTAAAGAAGTTAAAAATATATTATCAAATTAGATATCCGAGATTACTTTAAAAATAGTGACCTATTGCTGTTTGTTCCTCCTTAAAAAAGTAAAATTCGTTAACACGTAACTCTTATAACATGTAAACTCAGAGTCCGGTTTATTTAAAAACTTCGCATATCCCATATTTAAAATATTAGATCGCGCATGAAGATGCGCCAACGATCAGAAATATTGACAGTCATAGCTCAGTATTCAAGTGTTATGCTGGACTAAAGTGCTGTATTTTTATAGGATTTCACATAGGATCAAGCCTGAATTTTCTTCTTTGCAAATAAATTTGATAGACATTAGTCTTCCAATGCCCGAATTCGCCTACAGTGGGCTATTTTTTTGAAATAAACCCAAATGAAGTATAACAAAAACTTGAAATCCTCTATATAACATTTACACAATCCCCTATCTTGATAATCAATGTCATCATTTCACACTGCCTAATAAAAATTGTTTGAATTATTAATTATAACAACTACAATGACCTCTAAAGTCCAACACATTTGTGAAATAAAGACTAGAAGACAACGTTCTGGAACAGAACAAATATAAAATGCCATTTCCACTTTAATCTACGGAAAACCGACATATAATTTTTGGTTGGGTTCACATTATTCCTATCAATGTGCCTAACCGAATTTCACATTCGTCATTCTCTTTTACATCAAGCGACAATCATTTTCGATAAATGTCACCAAAGCTATGAATAATTGCTAAAATAGCTTGCCAATGGTGCCGGTACGGGTGCGGGTGCGAGTGTTTCATTCGAATAGTGATAGTACCAAGCATACAATTGCACTCTACGTAAGTATATTTATTTATTCATTTAAAGAAATTTCGGAGTAGGTGCTCCATCACAAAATGTTAGACATAAGTAAATATTGATATTCCGAAAAGAAAGACGAAAATCTGATAAGAATTACAAAAATACAGAAAAACAATCGTTATTTGCTGCCACTCTTACGCGTTCACCTGCTGTCTTTCCGCCTGCCCTTCTGGCCAGACCGTGATGATAGTACATGTGTACACTTTGAAGTTCAGTGTTTTGATATATCTTCGAGATAAGGAAATAAAATTATATTAAATTAAATTAAGCACTACAGAAAATAATCTAATAAATAATAAAGCAAAAACAAATGAGAATTAGACAAAAATAGAAACATATATTATTCACAAAGCAGCTATTGGTACCCTACACAGACAGTATCAAACTGTTTATATTTATTTCTCTCTCTGAAGAAAACTAATTTAATATTATATGTAATATATATATATATATATATATATATATATATATATATATATATATATATATATATACACTCATGTGATTTTATATAAACAAAAATATTTCGAAAAAAAATTGAATTAGAATAGGCACTAGGTAAAAACTAGTTTCACGAAACAACTGAACTTTTCTGAGCTATCCATGAACATGATTCCACAGCAGTAACTCACTTCACTTACAATTTAATATTTTGAACTGAGACTTGCAGCGTTAAGGCTAGTTTATACATCATTTTGCATTTTATAGCATGCTCGCAACAAAGTTTATTCCAAGAAGAATCTCTATTTAATATAGTGGTTATTAATGTATTTGTTGTATAAGTAATAAGTAAAACAAAGAAGACACATTTTTTTCCACTTTGTTCCTATCTAATCCAATTGTTCTGGTAAGGATTCCCAAAAGTTTGGGGTAGTTAAGTGCAACAGATTATCAAATGCTATTTTCTTTTGGGTAATTTTTGTAAAGAAATTTAGTTAAAGTAGTTCGTGCCGGAACGTCATAATTGTAGATACGAAACCAAGAGAAGTGCGGAGGAACATATTGTATAAATTTAATAAATTTCCCTTTGTTTTTTTCTTTGCAGAAGCCAACCGATGACTTAAGCCGGGCAAAAAGAAAACTTTTTATGTATCCTCACCTTAAAAATGGTAACAACTTTGAATCATCGCTTGACGAATGTCATCCAATGGCGTGGATACACATTCAGTTTGTTTGTTGTGGGAGGTAAGAACGTTGGCGTAACACTATATTATCGGTGTTTTTTCGTCGGTCTAGTCTACTTCGTCGACAAGCAACGTATATGCTTTTGAGCCCTTTTTATGGCATTTTCCATCACTTTGGCCAAAACTTCCGGCGATAGGTCCTCACATTCTTGACGGATATTATATTTAAGAGCTGAAAGAGTCTAAGGCTTGTTGACATAACCCCGCAACTTCCACAAATAGAATTCTGGCATATTGCCTTCAGCATATCGTGCAGTGTGTGCCGTTTCACCCTCCTGTTGGAACCACATGTTTTTTAATCCCAACTCATTAAGTTGCGGCAAAAATAAATCGTTGATCATTGCTTTGTAGCGCTCACCGTTCACAGTAACCGATTGGCCGGCGACGTTTTCGAAGAAGAAAGGTCCGATGACTCCTCCACGAAAACAGCACACAATACAGTGACTTTGAGCGGGTGTAATGGCTTTTCATGGGTTACATGCTGGTAATCAGTGCTGCAGAAGCGTAAATTTTGCTTATTTATGTACCCGCTAAAATGAACATGAGCCTCATCACCCATGATTTTGTTTTTTTTTTTTTTGATGAAAAAATCATCTTCTTCTTGATGTTGATTAAGGATTGCATTGTACGGAAACATCTTCAAGTCTTGTACCAAAATTCATCGATGTCGCTTCCATGACATCCTCGGCTACAGCAATATTCTCTGCAGAACGGATACTCCGGGGTCTGAACGCCTGGCCGTATCTTTTGTTGTGCCAGCCTCTTCGAGGCGAGCGGCTAAACGTCGCAGTGTTTCACCGGTAGGCGTTGGACGGCCAGGAAATCTACGACGAAATTCACGTTGTGCCAATGTCACCGATCGATTATTGGTCAAAGAAATAGTCACCAATATTCCGCGAGCAGTTGAGCGTAATATTGTTTATTAACGTGTATTTCGCATGTATTTACTACTAAAAATGTCAAAACAGAACTGACGTTAGGGGCCAATAGTAAAATTTATAGCATTTTCTGATAGGAGGATTACTTTTGAACCACCTTGTATATTCCAGATAAACCACCTTGTATATTAAATTCTAGTTCTATTAAATATGGAAATGAGAAACGTCAAATAAAAAATTGTATAGACCAAATATTTTTCGTTTCCTGAACAGCAAATATATACCAATTCAATGAGTTCTTGTAACATTTGTGGAGAAAATATAATAAAGACTTGTTTTAATAATTTTCACTTTCGCCCTTTATAGGTGGATTTGTCCGCACATGCCATTATCAGTATCTCCCACAATTTGGGAAGTAACTCATGTAATAATATGTCCGCAAATATCGAAATTGCAGTATTCGGGTATATGCGTCACTTCTGTTATTAGGAACATCCAATCCAAATTTCAAATAATTCTATAACAGTTGGCAACTATCGTCAAAATACCGAATATCGGCAGGATATTGGCTATAGAAAAGCGAAATTGTTCTATATAATAGAACAGCCGTTGAAATAGCGCATTTTAGATTCGACTTAAATCTTCTCAACGTCATTAACTTTTGAGATATTTATTTCCCCTCGACAGCTTGAGCTTGATAAGGCATTTTCCTCACATCACACTTTAAACTAAACCACTGTGCGGTAATAATTGACGTATGCTCTATATGAATGTGTGTCTGTGTGTGAGGGCCTTATAATAATAAAGGGTGTTTTTTAAGCGAGATAGAACTTTATTATAATTGTAAAAAGTAGCACAAAAAATTAAATTTTGATGAAACGCTTGAACAACGCTACGAAATTATCCCAATTTACTTTGAAAATCAGGCTCTAGAGCAGTTGGCAAATGACCCTTGGTTTTATCGCAAAATTGTGTTCAGCGTTGAGGCGCATTTTTGGCTTAACGGGTTTGTTAATAAGCAAAATTGCCGCATATGGAGTGAGACCAATCCACAAGAGACCCTACAGACTCCATTACAAGCAGAAAAATGTACCGTATGGTGCGGTTTTCACGCTGGTGGCATCATTGGACCTTATTTCTTCAAAAATGAGGCCGGAGCTCGCGTTACGGTCAATGGAGATCGTTACCGCATCATGATCAATGATTTTTTGATTAATTTGATTAAAATTTAATTTTTTGTGTTATTTTTTACAATTTCATGTTCTATCGAGCTTAAAAAAAAACACCCTTTACAACTAGAACAACCGACCGAAATGGCGTGCCTTTGCGAGCACTTTTATTTGAAGAGCATTGTCTACCCAGCTGTGTGGATTGGTTATGTTCTGATAGGTATACCCATAGACGTGGTTGGCTAGTTTGTCAGTTGGTCGCAGACAGTTAATAAGAAAAATCACAGCCTCGTATGAACAGTCAAATATTTAACGATCGCCAACCGCATAGCGGGTAGAACCAACAACACCTTCAGTGTTAAATCGTAGTCTAGTCTTAGCGAACAAAAATTATGAATAAATATTCGATTGTGATAATTCTTCTGATATGTTTCCTCGGATGGACGGTTGCTGTCGGTTCAATTAACGTCAACACAGTAACGGGTGTTTTGGCCTCGACAATCAACTCTACTATACCCGGCAGGGAGAATATTGAAAAGTTACGCGTATCACTTTCGGGGACAGTCAACAGTGTGCCAGTAAACGAGAGCACGTATTCGATTCTGACGGATTTAAATGTAACAAGGAGTGCCGACGAAACATGTCCCTCGCTGGATGATGCTGCCCAACTAACACAGACCCAGCTGATTAATCGTCTGACAGCATCCTGTCGCTACGACCGCCTGGAACGACCAAATGTTATGGAAAATGGGAGCATTGTCGATGCTCCATTGGATGTGTTCGTTCGGGTGTACATCTATGTGTTACAGAATCTGGACTCTAGCGACTTACAATTCAAGATGCATGGCCTGGTGCAGCTGCGTTACAAGGATCCCCGTTTGGCCTTTGATGAGTATGCGCCGAATAGGAAACAATCAATTCTGGGCGAATCCAAATTGCGTGAGCTGATATGGGTGCCACACATATTCCTTGCAAACGAGCATGATTCAAGCGTTCTGGGGACCAGTGAAAAAGATATACTCACATCGATCAATCCAGACGGTACTGTCATTACATCGTCGCGTATTCAGGCCACGTTGTACTGTTGGATGAAACTGCAAAAGTTCCCTTTCGATGAGCAGTATTGTCCCACGGTTCTGGAAAGCTGGATGTACAACGCAACTGAATTGCGTCTGTATTGGGAGGACAACGCTCCACTAACTTTTGACCCCAAAATGCACTTAACCGAGTACGCCTTAGAAAATGCATGGACAAACGAAACCATTATCAATGCCGACTTGAATGACTTGCGGCACGGAGCATTTGCAGGCAATTACAGCTCACTAAGCTTCACAGTTCATCTGGTACGAGAGGTGGGCTACTATGTCATGGACTACTTTTTGCCCTCGATAATGATTGTTGCCATATCCTGGGTATCTTTCTGGCTGCAAGCTGACCAAACACCAGCTCGCACTACTCTCGGCTGCACCACTCTTCTATCTTTCATCACGCTTGCCTCGTCCCAGGAGAACAACTTGCCCAAAGTCAGCTACATTAAGGTTTCCGAGGTATGGTTTTTGGGCTGTACCTTCTTCATATTCGGCAGTCTGGTAGAGTTTGCCTTTGTTAACACCATATGGCGGCGCAAGAATAGTGTCGAAGTGAAAAAAGTGAAAAGCAAATACATTTTGAAATCTACGTTAACACCTCGCATGAAACGCCACAAAATGATCGACAACGAACGTCAGCAAGCGCGACCACCCTGCGATCGTTTCCTTTCTGTGGATACACCTTCGCCGATCATTATAACCGTGGGCGATGAAACACCCAACAAGTTCACTTCGTCGGATTCCATAGCAACCATAACGTCAAGTGTGGACGACAATTTCTCGGATCCTGATAACAAACGTACTGAAAATCACTCCTGGACAACAATGACGCCACACGAAGTCTCTCTGTGGATAGATCGCAAAGCCCGCTTCTTATTCCCTGTGGCATTTATCATTTTCAATGCATTCTATTGGACATTTGTGTATTGTTTGTGACAATAAATTATGCATGTATATGGTCAAATTCAAAAATTGTTTTTTAATGCCCGGGTTTTCCAAGTCACTCGACTCGCTGACCCGAAGTCGACTGAAATTCTGTGTCTCTACTGAGAAAGTGTAGTGATAAATAATAAAAAAATCAAATGCGAAGATATGCAAAAACTTTTGGCGGAATAAATGAATGAAAATATGCGTAACAAAAAATTTAAATTTGGGTACAGATTATTTCAGCTTAGCTAAAGTAACTGAACTAGACATTCAATTTCGATCAAATTTCTTTAACCGAAACCCATTTGAATGATAAAACGGGCAGTTGCTGAAGGACATACTTCGATTTGAAAGGGAATGGCCATAAAATGCTTTTAATTTTTATTCCCTCCACCAAACTGTGCTCAGGGTATTATGTCTTTGTGCATTTGATTGTAAGCGAGATAGACCCATGGTTCCTTTTGATGATCTGCACAGATTCACTTTCTAAGTCGATTTATGCATGTCCGTCCGCCTGTCCATGTATTTCTTCAAACCAAGTACAGGTCGCATCTATTGCCCAATCGAGATAAAATTTGAGATAGCCGATCAAAATGTAGATATAGCAACCAAAAAATATCTTCGTCCGATTTCACGTATAACGGAACCTCCCGATATTCGGTATTTCGATGGTTTTAGTCACATTTTTACACGGATTTGTCCAAAAATTGGTATTTGTATTTCGTAATGGGTTCTAGCTCCTGTGGCGGAACATAGTATGAATAGGTCTACGTTTTCGTATAGCGCACACATAACGATACCCACCGATATTCTGTATTTTGATAATCCTAGTCACATTTACCCGCGGATTTTTTTCTTTTATATAAAAATGTTTCCTTTGCCCAATAGAAACCAATTTTTGACAGAAAGGCAATAGGTAAAATGAGCTTTTGATCCCAAACTGAAAAGTAAATGAACTGAAATTAAAACTTCATTGTCTGGGTAGCAATTGCTTGTCTGCCTTAAACAAAAGTTCTGTGAACAGGCTATAAGTACAAATTAAAAAATTGACCGAAATTAACTTAACTTTCGCTCAAATTTAAATTCTATTTGGTTTATGATTTTAACATGGTCCATCTCTGCATTTTCTGCAATTTACCTTGTTAAATTTCTATGAATAAAAATCTCTGATTTCTGGGTATACCTTGGATTTATAATTATAATTTTGACAATGAGATGTTGTCAAATGAATAATTTTGAAAAAAAAGGAAACATATGGATGGATTTTTAATTAATAAAAAGCCATAGAAGAATTATTAAGGGGAGAATACATAAAACGCTATGTTAGCTGGCTTAAATCATCGGCTAGTTTCTTCAAAAACAGTTAATGTGCAAAATATATGGGGGCGCTGCTCACACCAGTAACATGTTAGCATAAAACTAGTAAAAAGAAATTAATAATACCGTAGGGTAAACAAAACATTAGAACCAATTATGAACCACAAATACCAATTTTTAGACATATTCGTGGGAAAATGCGACAAAAATCATCAAAATACCGTATATCGGGAGGTACCGTAATATGGGGGCTATACTAAAACGTGGACCTATGCATACAATGTTTCGCCAACGGAGCTAACACCTATTATGACCAACTAATTCCAATTTTTAGACAAATCCGTGAAAAATGTGACAAAAACCATAAAAATACCGAATATCGGGAGATACCGTTATATGGGCTATACCAAATCATGGACCCATACATGCAATGTTTCGCTACACGAACTAGGACCCATTATGACCTACAAATGCCAATTCTCAGACAAATCCGTGAAAAAATGTGACAAAAATTATCAAAATACCGAATACCGGGAGGTACCGTTATATGGGGCTATATCAAAACGTGCACCTATACATGCAATGTTTCGCCACCGGAGATAGAACCCATTACGACCAACAAATACCAAATTTTAGAAAAATCCATGAAAAAGTGTGGCATAAATCATCAAAATACCGAATATCGGGAGGTACCGTTATATGGGGGCCGATATATTTTATTTTCAATACCAACCATCCTAGACACAAGACAAATTATTCTGCTAAATTTTGACGCTCTACGTCAAATAATCGTGATTTCAACAGACAGGCAGACAGACGCACATCGTTAAATCGACTTAGAATTTTATGCTGATTATGAATATATATAAATTATGGGGTCTACGACGAATATTTAGGAATGTTACAAACGGAATGACAAAGTTAATATACCCTCCTTTCCAAGGTGGAGGGTATAAATATATTTACAGAGGAATTTACGAATAAAATTTTGTGTATACCGAAAATTTGGGCTCAAGATTGTATTCCATTGACGTTTTCAATTAATTGAAAACTACATTTATGGTATGCTTATAACATATGCTATGATATCGTAAGAACAGAGGTAAATCTCCCTGGTGTCAAAATTTTGTCTCTACTTCTATGTATTAACAATTGCGGCGTCGCTTTTTCATTATCGCGAAAAAAGTGTCCGTATCGTCGCCGTTCTGTCAAGTATACAACGTATTTTTTTTTCGATTACCAAAGCGTCAATGTTATGTTACCTTATAATTATTGAACAATAAAAAAATTAAATTCTTCTCCATTATGGCATAGTTTAAGAGGTAGAGGTAGTCCATATAGCAAAACGGTATTGCAACTACAGAAGTTGATTGATTAAAACGTAAGCGGTTTTTATGTGTAATATTTTACTTATTTTTCTCCTCTTTTCCTCTTTTTTATACCCTCCACTACAAGGTGGTCAGGGTATTATGTCCTTGACCCGAAGTCGAGCCCTATTTAAATTGGAGATAATCGGTCAAAATTTAGATATAGCTCCCATATATACCTTCGTCCTATTTGTCTTATATTATGTACCAAACGTGTAACATCAGCCCAAATAAAATTGAATTTTGCACACACGACCAAATAGGTATGTCAAATTTGATGAAAATCGGTTCAGATATAGTTGTAGCTCCCATATATATTGTTCATCCGATTTGTTATATTTGTTCTCCACAGCCGTACTAACGATATTCAGGGAAATATATCAAAATCAGCTCAGAAATACCTTTGCCAAATTTTATCGAGCTCGTTTCAGATTGGGATCTCTATCTGATTCCAAGTTAATTGTGCACCAAATGCGTAATTCAAGCCCGAATTGAAAAGACACAAATGCCTCGCAAATTTAGTCCTTTGGACTTTATATTTTAACTATATGATTTAATTCTTACAAATTCCCCGCAAAAACTTTAATTTTTTAAGTGAAGCTCTACTAAATATACAAATTGGTATAGGGTATCAAACATGAATTGATCGAGGTTTTGTGTTCGCAGTCAAACAGCTCACATGAGTGATTTGTTGAATTGTTCATAAGGGGACGATCATCTAAGATGAGTGTGATCGGTTTCATTCGTCCTAGTTAAGGAATTATTTGATTTGATTAAATAACAAATGATCGAAATGTGAGCGAAATCATGATTGTAATTTTACCAAGCATTTCATAACTAAAAACAATGTCCATAAAAGAATTGCGTAGAAATTATATTGAAACAAGTAAGCAAAGGCTATAGCCATGCGGGGCCGACCATGTGATACCCTACAAAACTACAATTTGTAGAAGCCCCCTTATGTCCAAATCCATTTTGGAAGATTTCGATTTTAAAACTCTAATTTCATGCGAGATTTCGCGTCCTTTGGTTTCTATTTTGGTTACCTTTATAACGGCTGCAAAATCAGTAACATGTTTAGTTGTTGGTCCATTTTAACCCCTAAATATATTGCGGACATCTTTGAAAAATATAGGCCTTGCCCTTCAGAGCCAAACCCTACCCTTGTAAAAATGTTCTTGAGGATCGGACGATAATTGCAATCTGTAAATAATAACCCCAACCTGTGTTGTAAGGTGAAAAAATGTTTCAAAATATACATTTAAATATTATAAGTCAAATTGAAAAAGTCGCATGCGATAAAAAATATGAAAAAATAAAAAAAAATTTCACAAAATACTACAAAACCAATAGTTACATCATTATTGACATCTTTTAATGCGATCTTTTAAGATTTTATACTTTTATGCCAAGAAGGCATAAATTGACAAAATTTGTCAAAATCGGTCCAGCCATTCTTGAGATATAAGCATTCTTATTAACATCCCCTTCCTTCGTATATATACATTGTATATATACATATGTCTGATATATTTACTACCGGCATCTACGTAACGGTCAGCATTGACCTGTTCGTCTATTTGTGATTTCGCCCGGATTAAAAATATTCGCGGTTTAATGGAAAATTTTACTGTTATATAACACAAATTTTATGCTCTTTTTCACCCACTAAATATTACCGATGACCATCAAAATTGGAAGGTTTCAGCCAAGCCCTAAGCTCTAGCCACATGATAACTCCCGCTTCGATTGGTCCATAATTGCGACCTGTAGAGCAACTGCAAAATCCGGAAAATTTTCAGTTTTTAGTCCATTTCAACCCCTAAATATTATGCGATCATCTCCATAAGCAATGGGGTTCTATTCTGGACGTAGCCCCACCCCCATTCTAAATTTCATAAGATCAGGCCATAATTGCGACCTGTAGAGTGATTACAAATTAACATGGACAGACGGACATACATAGCTAGATCGACTCAGCTCGACGAGATAGGAAGATCCATATATAGTTTCATATGTGGGAAACCAATATTTCGAAGTGTTACATAATTTTTGGCCCAATCAAACTTATAATACCCCCAACACATAGTGTTGTAGGGTATAAAAACAGAAAAATTTAATTTTTTTTCTTGCTACATTAGACTTCAGAAACTTATTTCTAAAAAAAATCAAAACCATTATTTTTAATAAAGATACAGATCAAACGTATTTAATAAACAAACTTGCAACTTTTTCGGTTGCACTATCACAATATTCTTCCAATTCAAATATTTTACAAGTCAACAGAAACTGTCCCAACTTGATTGCATGGTTGAATAAACAATAGGTGTGTCTGATTACTTTTCCTACAGGAATTGTCCA